CCTGCTTCCCACGTAAACCCCTCCTTGCTGAGGGCAGGGGGTAAGGAAACCTCTAATGTTGAACTGCAGATACTTAGGTGGTGCGGTGGGGTTTCTGTCTGGCTCTAGAGACAGCTGACAACTGCTGCCATCCCGGTGAGGCTGCGACCCTTCGTTTGAGAATGGCTGACAGGGGGAACAGCCACGCCTGTAGGATGATGAGAAAACCCCAAGATAGGCACCATCCTATTGTCTGTAGGGTCTGCAGCATGCACAGCCATGCTGGGACTCCTGGGAGAGTCCCTGCTACTCCACTGCCATGGGAGACCTACAGGCAGCACTTTTATGTAACCCCCTGAAGCACTCTCACCTCATGCCAGTGCTCTGCTTGGCCATGTAGTGGCAGACAGAGTTCAGCCACATGGAAGGAGCAGGGTCAGACATGGACAACACCACATGGCAATGTCAGCAGCATTGCTAGGAGCCAGGCTGGGTGTTATCACTGTGCAGGACCACAGCTCCTGTGTGCTGGTTTGCTTGAGGAGAGGGTATTTCATAGCAAAATATGAAATTTTCCTTGCAGGGAGATGTGGACTAGCTGCAAGGGAGGTGAGAACCAGGAGGACCAGACTCACCCAAAGTGGCTGGCAATGGCAGGAGGTGGGCAGAGGTGACACTTTTCCAGGGCGACGGGGTGACCAGGGTCTGACATTCTGGGTTTTACCTTTGCCGCATTCCTCAGAAGTCCAATCGCACCTTGGAGTGCAAGTTTGGGGGCTTGCAAGTTGTCTGTGCTCCTCAGACAGGGAAGTCCTGCTCCTTGGATTTTATCTCTGGTGCTTTCTCCCTTTGAGCCTTCAACCTCTATTTGTCTCCTCTGCAATGACAGGAATCCACAGAGTTAAAGTCCCAGGACTACCAGCTCTGGGAGTACAGCATGGTGTCCTAGCCTTCCCCAGGGAAAGCCCAGGAGCCGTGTCCCACATGGGTGCTCCTGCTTGGCGCTTTGCAGTGCCTGCCCCCAGCTAAGGTTGGTGCAGGAATTGCTAGTGAGGAATTGGAGCTGCCACGCAGGGAGCTGCTGGGGAATAGCTGCCATGCTTTACATTCACAGCCCATCTATTTTGCAATAACTTCACCATGATGTTCCCACGTAGACAAGCCTAAGCTAGCATAGATAATGAAATGGGTTAAAGGAGACAGGCGGAGGGAGAGGAGAGGAGCCAGCAACTGGTAGTAAATCAGGGAGAGAACAGGGTTACTTTAAATTCAAGGTCTTGGTGGCAGGGCGAGTTTGGTTTATGCCGAGAGGCATGAGGTTTAGAGGATGAGACACAGTTGGGGAAGACAGAAGTGTCTCCTTGGTGGGGCCACCAACCTGTGTCCCCCATCACCCCCTATCTTGCTCCTCCTCATCTCCCCCTATCTTGCTCCTCCTCATCTCCCCAGGGGTGTGGGATTAAATCACTGGGATTAAGCACAGCCAGGAGCACCCATTCTGGGTGGTAAAGAGTAGTCAGAGAATCCTGAAGGAGCTGCCAGCCTGGCAGGGCAGGCAGTGGGCTCTGCTCCACAGGGGAAAGGTCTTTCAGATCCCCATCAGCTCATGGTCAGGGCCTGGGGGACCCAGCCACCAAGACTTTGGCACGGGTATCGAGGCAGTCCAAACAAGCTAATTAAATCCTGCTCTGCTTAATCAGAGCCATTGAGCACCAGTCAGAAGAAATTAATCCCATGTTTTATTAGATGCTGTTTGAAGTCGCGTTTGGCACCTCATCCTCGGTTCTCATCTCCTTCTGGGGAAGGAAGAAGGACATCTGCGGGGAAGAGCGAGGGTGCAGCAGATGGCAGCGGGGATGATTCAGGGGCTTGAGGAAGGAGCTGTGACTCCAGTGGCATCCCTGGGGGGGGGGAACGAGACACCTCTCCCTGCATCCCACAGCCCACCCCCTCCCCACGGCTGAGAGTCTGTGAGCCAGGCAGGCATCCCAAAAATACGTGTTCCTCTGCATTGCATGCTAATGGCTCTGCACGATAGGTCCCACCGCAATTAAAGCTCACAGAGCATTAATATGCAACGTGGAGAGGCCACTCTTCCCACAGCTACTCCCTCCCAAACCTGTCCTTCCTGCTGCACATCCCTGCCCAGTGGGAGCCTGCCCACGGGGATCCCACAGCAGTCCCAGTGGAGCCGCTGGCAGCACACAGTGAATTTAAGCCTTCCCCTCGCTGTGCCCAGGGGATGCTGCCTTTTTCCCCTGGCACCTGGCACCTTCTCCTGCCTTCAGGCTCAGTGGAGCGGGGTCTGTTGGGTACCTGGCTGCGGGTGGGTGCTGTGCAATGTGGCCCTGGCATGGGAGACACCCTGGCAGCTGGGAGAAATCCACAGGTGGGTGGTTAAAACAACCAGCTGGGCATTTGGTTTGGGGTTTTTAATGACTTCTGGTGCCTTAATTGGTGCAACCCAGGAAAAATTCCTGACGAAGAGAAAGTCTGGCCAAGTAAGGTAGATCACAAATTGCCCTCCAAGCCTTGGGAGTGCTCAGTAGCCTTGGTACATCCTCCTGCGACTCGGCTAGACTGAGCTGCTGGCTTTGGGTGTGGGGATTTATTTTTTTCCTAAATTTCCTGTCATAACTTGCGTTAAAACTTTGCAGAGCCATTTAATTGCGTTCTGTGGTGGTGATGATATGAAATTAGTCTCCCTTCTGATCTTTAGCTAAGTTGGTCCAAAGCACCGGCTCATAATTTGCTCTAATCATCAGGTCGTGGAAGATGCGAAGGCAGGGCTGGTACCCGGTGAATTCACACGGGCCAGGAGTTTCTGCCCTTGCCATGCCAACATTTGGCAGCTGGCAGGTCAGGCTCTGGCACCCTGGGATGGTAATATTGATACTTTCTTTTTGTGCCACTAAGGGAAGTTTTTCATCAACTTCTCTTGGCCATTTCCTTTAGCAGCAGCCAAGAACTATTACTGGACCACGGGAAAGGAGGGAGAACCAAGGTGGCTTCCCATACCCTGGGCTGCTCTCTCTGAACATCTTGGAGACATCCTCCCCTTCTGGCTGGAGACCTGCAATCAGACTGTTGAAGGCAGGGATCCCGTCTCCCGCTGCTTCATGTCCCAAACTATCCCAAGGTAGTGGCTGAGTTTTGTCTACTCACCTATCCCAGAACATCAATGAGTTAGAAGAAAACAAGTTCCCAATGAACAGGAACAGGGCAGGGCAATATTCTGGGCACAGAGAGCCTTTTTCTGCCAAGGGCACGGTGCCCATCGTTCCAGTGGCATTAGTGCTTTCCACCTCCATGCAAGAGGTACAGGATATCAGGGTATTATTTTTAACCAGGGATATTTAGTGGACCTCTCACGTGCTGTTGGAGGGTCAGATTTATCCCATAGCCTCAATCCCATGGGACGCTCCTGGTTATTTTTGAACCCATCAGAGCAGCAGAGGAGCAGAGGGATGAGAAGGCTTGAGAGACACAAAGTCTGGGGTTTGTCTGGCCTGTCCCTCTGGTCCGTGCATGGAACAGAACGCTCCTGCTTTGTCATCAACCCCCACCCTGCAAACCAGAACCCATGTGAAGCCCCAGGTTCTCCCTTTCCACTGAGAGGATCTTGGACGCCTGGAAGTTCTGATCCCTTTCGACCTACCGCATTGCAAGACTGGTTTTTTACCCTTCGTTCAATTTAAACCTGGCTGTGGAGCGAGTTTGGCCCTGCTCAGGCAGGTCCCAGTGGCCGTGAACATTCCCACGGGCGCCACAGCGCTGCCGCCACCGCAGGAGTCACTCCCACGCCCCACGGCTCCCCATGCCGCCGCCCCAAGCCTTGCAGGGAGTACACGGACCTGCTCAGACTCAAGATCTCCGATGTTTTGAGTGTAAACTCATGATTTTAGCAGTGGGTAGTTCATCACACAACCCCTACCCAGCACGCAGCCACCGTCCCTGCTGGATTTTATTCAGCAGTCGTTTTGGAGGCGGAGGTGAGGCCGGGGCAGGGGGAAAAGAGATGTTTGCAGCCTTTATTTTTGTGCTGCTCCAACATCTGTTCCCGTGGGCACTGCCACCCGAGACCGGTTGGTTCGGTGGGCTCCTGGAGAAACATGTTGGTGGGGCGAGGGGCGCCAAGCTCTGACTCCTAAACTGGGGGTACCTCAGGACAACAGCGTGGCTTTGCCAAGCCCCCGGCCAGAGGCAGAAGGGCTCCCCACAGCCCACCCTGCGGAACCCCCGCCCAAATCAGGGCACCACCTAGCCCCGAGGGGGTGGCTTTTAAGGGCAGCGAAGCAGACAGGAGCCGTGACCGGACCTGGCAGCCGAGGCTCCGCTCAGGGCTCCGGGCGCGCCTGCCCCGAGGTGACCGCCCGCAGCGCGAGGTTGGGGGTGCGCGGCGCCGGGCGGGACCCGCCGGGGCCGGGCCGGAGGGGGACGAGGCGACGTGCCCAGCCCTCGGCCCCCTCCCGGCGGGTCGGGCCCGCCCGGCCCCGGCGGGTCCCGCCCGGCGCCGCGGAGCGGCAGCGCCCGCCCGGCCGCACCGGCGCTTCCCCCCCTCACCCCCCGACGGGCGGTTTCAAGTCCCCCCTTCCGAGGTCTCCGCGGCGCCCAACCAATCAGCACGCGCTGCGCGCCGCGTCCCGCCGCCTTAAAGCGCCCCGGCGCCGCTCCGCGCTGGGGCAGCGGTGCCGCCCGCGGGCCGAGCCAGGAGGACTTTAGGACCGCGGCACCGCCCGCCCTCCCCGCCGCGGGAGGCCGCCCACCGCCTCCGGAGCGGGGCGTGTCGCGGCGCGGCCCCGCCCCGGCCGGGCGGCGATTGGCGGGCGCGAGCGCCCGTCGGCGGCGGGGGCGGCGCCCGGTGCGGCCACGTTCGGGTGCGCGGCCAGCGGCGCGTTGGGCGCAGCGAGCGGCGGCGGGCGCGGGGCGATGGGGGCGCGGCGGCGGCCGGCGCTCTGACAGCCCCCGGCGCTCCCTCGGCGGCGGGCGCAGCGGCTCCGGCGGCGGCGGCAGCAGCAGCAGCGGCGGCGGCTCGCGGCGGCCGCCCCTATCCTGCTCGGCGCGGACCATGTTCGCCAAAGGGAAGGGCTCGGCGGTGCCCTCGGACGGGCAGGCGCGGGAGAAGTAAGCGCGGCGGTGGTGGCGGCGGGGGGAGCGGGGCGGCGGCGGGGTGGCTTTGTGCGGGGCGGGAGCGGGGCGCCTCCTCCTCCTCCCCCGACCCGCCGCTCGGCTGTTGCAGGCTGGCGCTGTACGTCTACGAGTACCTGCTGCACGTCGGCGCCCAGAAGTCTGCGCAGACCTTCCTGTCCGAGGTGAGCCCCGCCGCCCCCCGCGCCCTTTGTGCGCCGCCGCACGCCCGCCCTCCATCTTGCGCGGGGCGGCGGCGGCGCCGGGGGGTCGCCGCGCGTGGGGGGCCCACGCCCACCCGCGACCACCCCCCACCCACACCGCCCCCCTCAACCCACCCACCCACCTTTCCCCCCCCCCGCCTTCCTCTCTCCCGCAGATCCGGTGGGAGAAGAACATCACGCTGGGGGAGCCCCCCGGCTTCCTGCACTCCTGGTGGTGGTAAGTGCGGGGGGGCCGGTGCGGGTGCCCCGTCGCGGGTGGGAGCGCCCCGCGGGGGTGGGGGGCTGCCCGCCGGGGGCGCGGGGCCCCGCGGGGTGCAGCCCCGGCGATGGCGTGAGTCAGCAGCACAGCGGCGGCTCGGCGAGCCCCGAACCGCCCCGGCTCCCGCTCCCCGCGGGGCGTCGAGGCGCGGCGGAGCCACCCCCGGCCCCGCGGGAGCGGAGGGCAGGGCTCCCGCCGGAGAGCTGCCGGGCCAGCCGCAGGGACCGCGCTGTGCCGGTGCCACTGGGGCGCCCGGGGGAGCAGAGCTGGGCGGCAGCACTGCTGAGAGCGTGGGAGAAGTCCCTGAAGTCCCACGGGAGTTAGCCCATCGAGGAGTTACCCCTTCAAGGTGTTACCTCTTACGGGCTGCTTTTGCCTCTTAGAACACCCATCATCCCACTTGCTGACGGTCAGGTCTGAGCAGTGTGGAACTCAGATGCACAGCTGGGTCCGGCTGAGGTCCCATCCCAGCCGTGGGTCCCTTGGGGTGGGAAGCCGCTCACCTCTTCTGACCCCCCCACCCGGGTGCCCAGTCTCTGATGAGTAACTGCTCCTCTCCTGGCTCTCTCCACCACGCAGTGTGTTTTGGGACCTGTACTGCGCAGCTCCCGAAAGGCGAGACACTTGTGAACATTCGAGTGAAGCCAAAGCCTTTCATGACTACGTGAGTAACAAGTTTCTAATCCTCACGGTAATTATGGCGTTGGGGAGCTCCGGCGCACGGAGAGCCAACCTAACCTAACTGACTGGCAAAAACCATGGGGTTTTTTAACCAGCAGTGCTCTGATTTGACTGAACAGTATTTCATAATGTTGCAGTTATGTAAATGAGCTCAGATACTTATCTTAAGCACTTAAAGGCATTTGGGTAGTGGTAGAATTAAGAAGTTTTGCCTAGCAATGGACCCCCCTATAGGGGGTCGATGGTGGAATTCATGCTGAGGACACCTCAATGGTGAGATGTTTCATGCTGAGGTCACCTCACCGGGTGGGCGGGGGTTGGATTTTGGTGGGGAGGAGCAGGGGAATTCCCCAGACTGCTGTTGAATGCCCCAGTTAATATCTCCCTGCCTTTGGCAAGGCTAGGGGCTTCCTTGGTTGTCTGAGTCCTCCTTTGATCCCAGCAAGGTAGAGGTGTTGGCTTGGTTGTAGGTGGGGTTGCAGACCCCCTTGGTTGATTGTTGTGCATGCTGGCTCTCTGTGGTTTGGGTTGTTCTCTGCAGAGGTGATAGCCTGAACCAGGGATGGATGATGCTTCTGGGGTGGGATGCTGGAACTGAGGTGTCTCCCAGAAAGACACTCCTTGGCAAGAGTGCATGGCATGTCTGCTCCAGGGGGCGATGGGTGGGCTGCCTACTCCCGTCCTGCACACATCGCCCACATCTGCAGCGTCGGGAAGAATGTGCATCAAAGGATTAGTCACCTGGCTGTGGGCTTGGACCCCAGTCAAGTGAGTTTAAACCTTGTAGCAGGAGCTGGTTTTGTCTGCTCCAGGGAGACTATGGTATGGAAACCATTTTTCCTCCCTTCCCAAGTTTCTCGTTGCCTCAACATGCCTGGGTTGGGATGTGTGAGAGTTTGCTGGCGAGCAGCACCAGGCGAGTGTCTCGGGGACCTCCACAGCATTCCTGCGGGCTGGTGCCCTGGTTGCCCTGGGGCAGGCAGTACCAGGCTGCTGGAGGGCCTTGGCTGGCTGCTGAGGTGCCTTTCTTCTCTGCCCATCCTGCTGGGTCATGGGGGACGTGGGTCTGGGTCTTTGCTAGGTGGGGTTTGTCCGTCTGTCCGTCCCTCCCCATGACCATTCTCTGCATTGCTTGTTTTTACTGGGTCGGATTAAGATGGTGAACTTCTGAACTGAGGGTCAGAGCTGACAACCGGCAGCAGATCTAGCAGTGCTTTGCTCTGTGTCAGTAGCTGCTCTCTTTCTAGGTGTTTTGGGCCAAATTGTGGGGGTTTGGGGAGCCTGGATGGGACTGCGGGCTCATCAGGAGCAAAGCAAAGGTAGATCTTTGGGCAGCAAAGCCACAGGTGAAGATGACATTAGCAAGCAAGTCATGGTAATGCTCCATTCACAGCAGCCTCCTCATCATGTCTGAGGATTTAGTGTATTTAGAGAAATTAATCTTTTTTTAGCTTGGTAATAATTCTAACAATAGGCCTGAGTGCATTAGATGATTCGCATAAACTTCTTTAATACACGTTGCTTTAAGCTTACAGTAAATAGACACAATCCTGATTGTTTTTAATTCTCGGTGTAATGCAGTTTTGTAACAGTCCCAAGTGCTTTACCTTTTGGGCTTTACGGCAAAGACTTCTAAGAAGATTTTCACTCTCCTGTGCCTTGGCTTGGTGGCACTGGGTTGGTTTCCCAAGGCACGTTTTGACCACAGGGCGGGGATTGTGTTTCTCCCTGGCGTGGCCGGTGGCGGATGCTCATGGCACAGTCCCTCTCTGAGGAGCGGTGTTTTCCCGGCACAGCGTGTACTTTACAGGGCGAGGGACCTACCTGGCCAAAACTTAAATATTGACCAAAGAACCAAACGATAACCATGGGAGCGTGAATAGAACCTTGTTTCCCTTCTGCTTCCAGGGCAGGCTGCTGGTCCCGGTGAGCATAGTGGCCAGCCTTGCCGATGGTTGCTGGGGCTGGAATGCTGGTCTTTATCAAGCACCAAACCCAGCGACCCATCAGTGGTGCATGGCAGCTGAAATGGGATATGAGCCCCAAATGGAGCTGGATCAGCAAGTCATGAATCACTTCACGTGGTAGTTGTGTTTAAAAATATCCCAATATAAGTCTTGCTGCAGATTGGTGGAGCGTTGTATCTACGCTTGGCCAAGGATGGGCAAACTCTGTGTGCCCAGCTTGGTGTTCGCACAAAATACGGTGTTCTATGTACGCAAAGATGGTGTATTTACCATGGTGCTCTTAAGGACAGAAGGAGGGGATGCTCTGGGAGCCAGTTGGGTCTTGGTATGTCACCGTCCCAGAGCCAGCACTGTGTAGGGGTGCTTGCCTGGGAGATGCATCGGCAGGCCTCGTTAGCAGGGTGCTAATGATGGGATTTGCGTGCTGCATCATTTCCACTTCATCTTCCAGCACAACCCTATGAAAACTATTAGGAGCAGCAGGACAAATTGCTAATTTCCCCCTCTAGTTTTGAATATTTAAATCTTTAGCAAGAAAATAAAGTAAGGAGAAATCCCACCACTCTTTTTTTGAGAGGACCTTTGAAAGGCGTGGGCTCTTGTGATCTCTTAGAAATATTGCTTTTTACGTTTCCCCTGAGGTTTTTCTCCCAAGCTGGGACAAAAGCCTGCTGGAAGTTGGTGGAAAGGTGCTTGTTGGGGGAAGAGTGATGGGAGCAGGGATTCACCTGGCACGGGCAGGAGGAATCCTGTGATTGTCTATCCTTCCATGTCTGGCAGGATTGTGTGTCTGTTAACACAACTATTGAGTTGTGTTGATTGGAGGGTTGTTAGTCAGCCTGCCCCACCTCTATCAAAAGAGTTGATCCAAGTTAACAGCACCACAAACACCCATCAGCTCCTAAAACTCAACCTGTAGCCATTGATTTAGGCTCCTCCACTGGGCAAAGCCCCATGGAGAGCATGCCAGCGTTATGGCACGCTCCCGGAGCCGGCGAGCTTGCAACAGGATCGCTCGGCATGACAGGGGATTTCAGCCGCCGCCTTATCTGGGAATTGGCCGATGGCTGGTCGCAGTTGAGCATTTCAACACCGTGAAAGCCAATACAATTTGAGTTAGCGGTGATGACTGCCAGTTTAAATACCGCAGTGAATTTCTGTCAAAGAGCTAATACATAGAAAGGGGAATTGCAGAAAACTTGATCACCAGAACCACTTCAGTCGATTTTGGCCTCGAGCTACAGAAAATGAACTTAAATCTAGTTGACTGTTGCTATATACTTTTTGTGGTATTGCTCTGCCTGCACGGCCAGCTCAGAGTGTCAACATGCAGGAGAGAAAAATCAGGGTAGGCTTTGGCTGACAAAGACCTTGACTTCATCTTTCCCTTCCTCTGTTCCCCCCAGTTTTCTCCTGAGAAGAACCTGCACTTGGGAGCATTTGAAATGCTGTTTACTTTGCAGCACAAGATCTGCGGAGCTGTGGCTTCAACTTGCCATTAATGCGAAGCATTGATTTATTTATTTTTGTTTTTAACTTTGGAAAGCTGCTGCAGTTCTTTCTAACTCAGGTCTGGAAGGATACTCTGCAGTAGTGGGGGCAGATGCTGCTGGAAAGGTGGTGGTTGATATGGGAAAAGATGATGTGTGTGGGGCTCATGTCCTCCCATCCTGGTTGAGCACAACCAGGGCTCCTCCCTTTTTCCCCCATCTGAAACAGTTCTCCTTGGATTGAGATCTCAGTGAGAGGTTTCTGAACCGCTTGGAGATGGATGGATGGATGGAGTATCCAGGCTTGCTGGTATTAGCGTGCAAAACTACTCAGTGGGGAATGAGATAAAACCCAAGGGATTTGGAAGGGTTTTGGCCTGCTGGCAGTACAGACTGGGGGGATGTCCCCCAGGCACTAGAGTTTGAACCCCAAGCCCAGTTGTTTCCCCTGATGTAGGTGCCCTTCCAGCCACGCTTTGGGAGCATGGGAGATGGTCCTTTTCTGCTGGATCTGCCCATCACACCTCAGCCGGCTGTGGGATGGGCACCCTGTCCCAGCATCACTGCCTGGGTGTACCTGGGCTGCCAGGGAGCTTTCATGTGGTGGTTGTGGTTAAAAATATCCCAATGTGAGTCTTGCCTGAGGTTGGTAGAGCATTGTATCTACACTTGGCCGACGGTGGGCAAACTCTGTGTGCCCAGCTTGGTGTTTGCCCAAAATACGGTGTTTATGTGGCAGCACTTTATTGTCACATCAGCTTCTGCTCTCCAGGGTCTGTGTGGCCATCTCATGGTGTGATACCTTGGCAGGTGAGATGGCTGTGTGGGAGGAGATGCTCTTCATGGATGAGGGGTTTGGTGGACCTCCCTTGTGAGGTTCTCTTTTTGCTTCAGGACCAGTGAAGGCTGTGAGACCCTGGCTCGAGGCACCCATGGCTGTGTGGAGTGGGACCAGCAAGTGTTAGTGTTGGGATCCACGAGTACATCTGTGGTGGTGGTGGTCCATGAGAGCTCCTTCTGCGGTGTGCAGCCAGTGTAGTGAAAACATGTTGCCTAGGAGAGCAGATGTTTTTGGGGCAGGTTTGGCACAATGCAGGGACAGGGGTTGGGAACAGCTTTATGTGGTCCCCATGAGCCCCCAGAGGCATTGCCTGAGCCTTGGGCACGTGGCTCAGCCAGCAGCACACACAGGTCTGTCCTGTTTCCAGCTCTGTCTGGGCTCCATCCAGCTCTGCTCTGCAGAGACAGGGCTCCCTGGTAGGTAACCAGAGGAGAGGAGTTTCCTTCAGGAGTGGCAGGCTGCCAGGAACAGCTGCAAAACTCCACATCACTTTAAAAAAAAAATTACAACAAAAATAAATAAATCCAGATATTCCATCTCCTGGTATGGCTGGGCTCAGGCTTCCCTCCCAGTTTAGGGTACCAGTGAGCCTGGCTGTCCCTTAAACCCTGCTCTTGCTGGAGTACCATGCAAAGCTGGATTAGCTTAATTTTATATTTTACACAATTTTGGCTGTCACAACAGA